CAGCAGTGGGGAAGGGGTGGGGAGCTGTGGGGGAGGTGGGGGGCGATGGGGAGGTGATGGGGTGCAGTGGAGCCGGGTGCTGGGGCAGCTCCATCAGCCTGAGGACCTGCAGCGTCGGGGGCTTCCCAGGAGGTCTGGCGTGGCTGTGGGGGGCAGAGAGGATGGATCGGGAGGGAAAGGGCTGGAACAGTTTTTCTACGTTCCCTGGAAGATTGCGGTTTGCCTCTGAAGGAGGATTTGAAGGGAGTTGGATACCCAAGGCTTGTAACGTGACTGAAGGCACGAGCTGGCTGGTGAGCTAAGAAAATGCAACACAGGGGCCAGATCTGTCTGGGTTACTCTGAGCCAAAGGCATTATCGCAAATTCCTTGATATTTGTGGTGTAATTGTGGGAAGCACTCCCCGCTTTGCCTTTGTGTAAGGAGGTTAACACTGTTTTTTGGAGGACTGAGACTTCCCACTTTTGCTGAAGCTTCTGAAGGGAATGGGAAGCGGCAGGGGTCGAGTTAGCCTGTTGCTGCTCTGTTTGCTTGAACGCTGGACGGTGTTTCTTTCCATGAAGCCTGAAAATAAATAAGAAAATCTTCCACAGAACTAAGTTTCACATGCTCTGTACTCTTTCCTGCAAAACCAGATTTGAGATGCCCTGGAAAGGATGTGAATGCTGGGATAATAATTTGCATTTACAGTTTAGTGCTTCGTAGGTGTGTTTTAATAAGTAGCTACAAAGGTGCTTTCTTACCGGTTTTATTACCTGACTGGCATTGTAAGGAGGAGCCCTTGTGATCGAGGTGTGCAGGAATATGGTTTGTTAATCCCTGGAAAGGTATTTTTTCTTCTCTTTCTTCCTTTTCCCCCTTTTCCTCCTTTGCCTATATGAATATCGATGGGAAAAATGTTTCTCGTACGGAATAAGTGACCACAAAGACTGGGAACATCTCGGTGTCTGGACTAAGGGATGACCCAACCCCTTAGGTTGTCCACTGTGGATTTCTGTCTCTGAGCAGAGTTTGGGCAAGGCACAGGGGTCTGTGTTGGGTAAGGTGCCCAGAAAGGAAGCCAGGCGGAGGAGAAACTGTGTGCTAAAGATCCCATGTTCCATTCTTGATGGGATTGGGAAAAAGAAAAGCTCAAGATGTTCCTGTCTTACAGGGGGAATTCCAAGTAAAATTATTTCAAAATTTTGAAAAAGTGTAAATGTCAGTGTTGCCAGTAGTCAAGTGATGTCATTATCTCCCTGCTTGTTCCCTGTTCCCATCTGCTGCCTCGGTTGTTTCAGATTGTGTCCAGATCCTGTGGCTTGTCTCCACACAGGCTGATTTCTGCCGCTGCGAAGAGGGGGTTTTATCATTTGAGCTCTCGACTGCACGCTTCTGGGTTTAAAAAAATGTGTTTGTGGCACCCAGCCCTGTGGGACTTCAGTCCTGGCTGAGCTTGCAGGGAAGCTTGCCACAGACATCGCCAGATCTGCGTACCTGGCGGAGATTAGATCTCGACAGAGCTCTCTGTGGTTTTGTGGATGTACGTACATCCCTCTAAAGAGTGATTTATGCGCGGTTCACCTGCCCGAGGATTATGCAGAAGGACAGGCTACAAATACCTGGAGGAACTCGCGCTACCTCACACAGCACGGTGAGTCAGAAGGACGGGAAACCTCCCGTGCTGGAGGTTGCACCACGCTTTTGCATCGTCTCTGCAAATCTGCGCGTGAAGGCGCGGGCTGGTCCAGCCTCAGGATGTCCCCTGCAGCCCTGCTTCGGGACCAGACCTGTCCCAGGCAGGGTCTCTGTCCTGAGACCTCCTCATCTTGTCCTGAAGACAGCTCTTTTCCCCGAGTATCGGATTCTTTCCAGATGAAACATCTCTTTTCTTCCCTTGCTGCGCAAATCTCTGCAGAAGCCGTGCTGTCTGTCCTTTACCGATGACACTGAGCACAAGGGCAGAGTCACCCCAGGACGGGGGAGGCTCGTCGCAGCCAAGGGCTTGTGTGGGCTCTGCTCGGGGTTCTGAATATTGCCCGGCTTGTGTTCTGTGCCGTCGTCTCGCAGGTAGATATGCCATCGGCCTGAGATTGGTTGAGTCCCAGGCTGCTGCTGTTTAAATAGAGAGTGGAAGAGGTGTTACAAAGGCTAATGCAGAAGCTGGGTGTCAGTACCGTTTCTGACTCATCCACCGATTTGCATTTCTTCAAATAGTCACCTACAGATGGCAGAAATGCCGGGGAGAAAGCAGACGCGTTTCTGAGACGATCCTCTCCACCAGCAGCCCTCCCCGCCGGCCGTTTGCTGTCCGACTCCGCACAGGCTGCGACTCCTCCGGTGCCGCTGTCATAGAAACGCTGAAAATTCCTCCCGTGGTTCTGCAATATCAGCACGGTGCCGGGTTCCTCCCTCCCCAGGCTTTTCCAGACACAGGCACTTTGTGAAGCTGGGTCACTTCAGAGTCACCCGAAGTGGTTTTCGGGGCTGTTCTCTGTGTTGCTGTGGCAGCGGCAGAGCGTCGACAGCGGAGCTGCAGGGCAGGGAGCTGTGCTCAGCCGCACGGTCACCTCCGCGCTCGTGAGGTCGGCATCGATGGGAGAGAGCGCTGCATTGCAAGTTACGACATAATTATGACTTCTGAGATACCCAGGGACCTCTACAAATCAAAAGTTCCTTTTTGTTGACTTTTTGCTTTTGAAGAGCTCTAGCAGCTAGGATTCTTCCTATTTTAGGCTGGGGTTTTTATCTTGTACATATTTGGTGATTTCCCCCCCACCCCAAACACAGGAGTACGTGTCAGTGTGTTAAACTGAAGGGGAAGCAAAGATGCAGAAGATAATGCCTATTTTTCAAAAACATACCTGAATTTTTGGGTCTGTCAGCCTTTCTGTGCTCAGACAGAAGCACCTGGGCCTGATTTTTTTTTTTTTTTTTTCCCTTTTCTCCCCTGAGTGCTGAGCACACATCTCCAAGTGCAACACACGCTCGGCACACCTGAAACCTGGACCCACAGAGCAGCTGGGAGCCATCGGTGCCCGCTTCTGGGCTGATGTATCTGCAGAAAGACCCCCCGAAAAGGCAGCAGGAGGATCAGAACTCTGGCTTGGCTCCTGAACCCAAGTTCAGATCATCAGCAAGCGTTGCAGACAGCGCGACGCTGTGAGATTCTGAGTTTCCTGATGAAAATTTTCAGGTCTCTGCTCCTGGTCTATCCATTATTACCTGGGAATTAACAAAATAAACCTTTATATGATAATTAAATTAGTCATAACCACAGGAATGTATTCAGTCACCTAACGCAGAACTCAGCGAGCGGAGCAGCATGTCCCCTCCTGTGGCATCGCTGTGCATCCTTCGTGCTTCGGTCTCGAAAAACCTTCATCGTGCCTCCGCGCGCTGCCGCATCGCCGCAGCTCATACGTGGTAATTTTGCTCCTGTATTTGCACGGCTTTCATCTTTCAGAGCAGCTTTACCCGGCGGCTAATCAGCGTGATTGTTAATGGTTAATTGGCGCGCTGTCTGAAGCTGATGAGATGACCTTGCCAAGGAGTCGGTGGGGAATTGTGCGAGCGAAGTGGCGAGCTCCGTGAACTTCCAGCGCTCTGGCGCTGTGCCACCCTGGCTATTTATAGATGTGTTAGGAGAGTCGGGTGCTGGAGAGAGCTCCTGATCTCAGCACCAGATGCCTCGCACGCTGACCCGCAGCAGAGCTGCAGCAGCCCGAGGAGCAGCTCTCCGCTGGTCGAGTCATTCAGTGCTCCTTCCGTTCTCATGCGCTCGTTGAAAGCCCCCCGCAATTTCTGCATTTCCTGGCCAGCAGGAGCTGGGTAGGTTACTGCTGCAGGCTTGTGGCTGCTGCAGTTTCTGTCCTGCCCAGCGACACGTGAAGCTCGTTGTTGCTGGAGCTGTCTCGTTTCTCGCTGCTTGGGGTGATGGGTTCAGCCCCGACCTGAGCAGCCTTGCACCGAGCTCTCTGTTCCTGGGTCACGGCAAAGGCAGGAGCAGCGTTATCAGCATCGGCAGAGCTCAGCTGCAAGGCCAGAGGCTTCAGCTAGATGCTTTAAAATTCTGGACGCTCTCTCTTATCCGAGCTGCAGGGTGATAAACGGGGTGTAACACAGCTCAGCTGTCACTGGGGTGCTGACGAAGCACGAACCGCCCAGCCTGTGCCAGACCCACCTCTCGCTCTACCAAATAAACCTTGGCTTGTCTTTCGATCAACACGTCAAATCTGGGAGGCTAAACCAGAGCTCCAGACCCTGCAACTCCTCCTGCTGCCTGTTTTCTGCTCTGCGGGCGCTGTGAACAGCATCTCAGGATAATGAGCATCTTCACCCTGTAGCTGGGGTACAGACCCGAGGCTGTGTCTGACCCCAGAGACCGGATTGTTCGGTGTACATAGGACACGGGGTTTTCTGCTCTCTTCATCCAGCTGGAACCTTTGCCCAGGCTCATTGTCGCACTCTTGGTCACTGCCGCATCCTTGAGGACCGGGGTCTTGCCCTGCCCGGATCTTTGCAGAATGCTGCTGCAGAGGTTTCTTCCCCAGCTGCAGCTGTTGGTGCTCTGTGCCTCCTCCAGTGACTCTGCTTTTTTTGTATCTCACAGCGTCCTTTCTAAAGCCGTTCTTAGTCTGTCCCTACTCTCTGTCGTTTCATTTTGTGGCTGGGAAATCAGGTTTTACCTCTCAGCAGCTGGTGGTGCCAGCCCTCCTGACTCCATCGGGATGCTGGGTGGGTTTAGTGAGCTGTGACTGTTAGCAGGATTTTACAAATGGAAATAAAAAGTGACCCTCCTCCAGACAGCAATCAGAAATACACAAAGTCCAGAGCTTTCTCCGTAGGACATGATTTTGGGCAATTTTTAAACTTGTGTTGAGGTGCAGAATTGGATACGAATGCTTTCTTCCTTGCCGCGCGGAAGCAGTGTCTGTAGATCTGCGTCGAAGTCCCGGGGGACAGGGGGATTGACTTCCCGACTCTTCTCTCTTGCAGTTGGTGTATCCTTACGACTTCAGGCTAACAGAGAAAGAGGTAACAACTCTTTTTTTTTTTTTTTTTTTCTGGTTTCAAAGATACTGAGCGGTGGTGATGGAAGTTTTCTTACCGTGCGTTTCTGTTTGTTGCAGAAAACCAGTATCTGCTACTTGTCCTTCCCAGACTCCTACTCAGGTAGGTGACATCAGCTGGCCGAGCTGCCGCCTGCGGGGTGCTTGGTTGCCGTTAGGAAATAAACGGGTTCACGATGGAAAGGGTGAGTCATCGCCTCTCACGCGGCGGCGGCCGATGGGCCGTGTCTTCTAGAACTGTGCTGCCAAGCAGCACCCAGCCCTTCGCTCTGAGCAAAGAGGCTTCTTGGCGTTCCGACCGCTCTCTGGACACGGATCGCGTGGGTGACAGGACAGTTTCTTGCTGAGCTTGCACACTCCTGCTTCACTTGTGCCAGTGAAATATAAAAAATAGTCACAGCGGGTAGGTTCCCTGAGGCTTGCAGCTGCCAACTGTCAGCATCTCTGTGTGTGTGAGGGAAGTGCTCAGGGGAGAGAAACAGCTGGGGAGGGGATGCTCCCCCAGCAGAAGTGCTCCCAAAGCTCTTGTGTATAAACCAGGGCGGTGGCAGGAGGAAACAAGCATGTTCTTCATCCCGGTTCCTGCTGCTTTGTGACCAGTTCTGTTAGTTTTTGACAGCTGTGCCCAGTTTACTTTTAGATGTTTTTAAGAATGCACCCTCACCAGTTTCTCGGAGCGTTGTGAACCCTTGGGCTAAATATCCCTTTCGTTACAGGGAATGGTTTGCTGGCAGTAATACCTTCACATCACACACAGCAGCCTTTCCTCCTCTTCGGAGCACAGCATCCCCCACCCATGTCCCCCCACCCCCATTCTAGCACCTCAGTCTGGTTCTGGTCAGTGAGCTTTGTGTGTTTAGCTCCTTCCTTCCTGACCTCTTTGTACGTCCGTGCCCTGAGTCCTCGACGAACCCTCCTGAGGACTTTGTGCTTCTCTTTTTCCTGCTGCAGGCTGGGTGGGGGCTGAGCAGTGCAGCGGGACCTGGGAGGTGCCTGCCTGCGGGGCTCGTCGGGGTCATTTGCTGGAGCTGGTGTGCGGGGCATTGTCGCTGCAATCCCTGTTTGTGTGGTCTGGGGTCCAGGCTCTTTGTAGGTTTCTCAGTTCGGTGGTTTAGCTTGATGGTAGCAGGTCTGGCGTTCAGCTGTGGGTTCCTCCTGCCTGCAGTGGGTTTGGGGGTTTCTTTATGCCGTTCCTCTCCCCGTCATTTTCAGATTTAGAGTTCTTGTGAATCAGCATCCCCGCTTTGGTCAGCATTTCTGATCTGAGCAATTTCCAGCTTTCTCGTTACTGCAACTTCTCCCTGAGCGTTTGTGATCTTCTCTGTCTCAGGTGGCCTGGGGGACACTCAGTTTAGCTTCCGCCTCCGTCAGTCCGGGGGACAGAGGAGCGCTCCTTACGAGGACGATGGCGGGTACAACAGAGAAGCACCCCTCACGCTGCAGGTCAGTCGCGTTTCCGTGCACTGCTTATAGCTGCCGAGCAAGCTGGTGTTACTGGGTTCAAAGCAAATATACTTTTGATTTGTTTTCTCTGCATAAAATACTCTTATTTTTTTCTGGCCATGGTCAGAGTCGGAAAAGGAGAAAGCTTTCAGCCCAGGGACTTACTTCCATGTCAATACTTGGAGAGGGCTACTCCAAGAGATGAAACTGATGCAGGGGGACCCCAGGTTAGAGCGATGGTCGTGTCTAGCTGCAGGAAAAAGATAAAACGGTGAAACACGGGCGACATCCCACAGAATGCATGGCTACCTGTGCACACTTCCAGGAGACAGCACAAGAATACCCTTGTCTGTGGTAAATGAGGTGTTTACCTCTTTTGTGGAGGGATGACAGTTCATTTATTGCAGGATGTATGTATGTACAAAACCAGGCGGAATAATTGGCATGGCACAAACCGACCCTGCGCCGGTGACCTGTCTGCCCATTGCCTGCAGAGGAGGGATGTGCTGAGCACTGTTGGTCCTTCTAATCGAGCAGATGGCCACCAGAGCAACTTCTCCTCTTCTGCTTTCTCCTTTGAGATGATGCTTCCTGAGCATGTGCCTTTTGAGCACTTCTGCGATCTTTTTGTGATACACAATCCAGAAATGGATTGCTGGTCTGAGGCAGAGTAGGAGGATTTATTTTCCTAAATTCTGATTTTTCAGCTTGCGTACATTTTTACAGTTTTGCAGCAGTCGGTAGAAGGACACAGCTTCACAGATTCACCTGGCTTTAGAGAAGTCAGGGAAGTAAAACTGCCAAAGTACTGGATTCTCTTGTGGAAGATAATATTGGGGAAGAGAAAGGTGCCTGAAGCCACAGGGCACGTGGGGCTTCAGGAAATTATTTTAAGGATGGTCTTTGTGTTTGGTGCTGGTAACTATCCAGCCTTCTTGATGTCTGCGGGAGTTTAGAAGTCATAGCATGTTTGAAGTGATCGCTGGGGGTTTGTATTAGACCTCTTCGTTTCCGTGGACGCTGTGAAGCATCGTTCAGCTTTGTGTTTCATCCTGAGCAGAGTTTCCCTGGTGCTGCCCTAAATGCCTGGCTGAAGAGGAATGCGATGGGCATGGCAGAGGACCTCTCCTCCTGGAAGATGATGCTTTCCTTCCTCAACAACGCGTTATCCTCTAGCTGGCAAAGAAGCCTGGCAGTCAGAGCACATCGGGGTGGCACGGGGTGCCAGGATGAGCTCAGGGGCTGGCTCAGCTGCTTCTATCAGTGGAAACCTCCATTAACCCTTTTGGGTGATGGCCCTGAAGGTCCTGCAGAAAGGGGCTAGGGAAAGGTGCTACCCGAGGCTGCAACTTGTTGTGAATTTAGTTGTTTGTATCTCTTCTGTTGTCCCATTTGGTAAACTCTCCCAGATAGCTGAGCGTGGATAAGTTTGGAAACAGGAGGGAGTGCTGTACCTGGATCCTAGCCGGAGCGAGGGATGTTGCTTGGTGGGTGGCTGGAGAGGTTTGGCGATAGCCGTCGCCGGTTTCTCAATAACAGCATTGGCGGTCTCTCTTGCAGCGGGAGGCAGCTCATTACTTCGGTTACGTGTACTTCAGGCAAGTCAAGGACAGCTCGATGAAGAGAGGCTATTTTCAGAAGGTGAGTGCTGAAACCAGATAGCTCGCTGCTCTGCGCTGGCACGTAGCTGTACGAAGGCACCTATCCATGGCTGTGAAATAGCACCGCTTCCTACGTGACACCCACGGTGCTTCTGCAGGAAACGGCAAAGGTCGTGGAGAACGGGAATGTGTGGCAAGTGTCATTCCAAACAGACCTGGATGGGGTTGCCATGGTGTGTTAATCACATGAGCAGCGACCTGCTGTCTGAGTCACGAGAGACTCGAACAGTTGCTTCGCTATGTACTCGAGAGTCACAGGCAGTGAGAGGACGTGCTTCATGATTGCAGTCTGGGCTGGTTACACCTTAACCCTGCTCTCATCATTGCTTTTATCTTTCTTCTTCCTAGTAGCGAGCTGGCAATGGACTTCCTGCTGGGCTGGTTGCTTCTAACGAGCAGCAGTGACACTGCTGGCACCTCGCCAGCCTTCTCTCTTATCATAAATTCCTTTGACACAGACACTGGAAAAAGAAATTATAAATGGCATATTTGTTACAGCATAAATACACGAAGTGCTTTGTATTACTCAGACAGATAGGTACGGTCACTGCCTGAAAGAGAGTGGAATTTCAGACTTCTAGAGGAGGGAAATGCTTTGATCCCAAGATCCTTTTTTCTCCTTGGGTCTGTGGAATTACTCTTTCAGTAGTGTTTTTTCACATCAAAAGATAAAATGCCATCCTCCCAAACAAATCAGCTTTGAACGCCTGCTCTCCAAAGAGCAATGCTTCATAGCAGAGGGGTCTGGGGGCTTGCTGGAAGATGGGGACACCGCTCTGTCCCGGCAGCTCCCTGGCCTCTCTGCTTTCTCTCCTCCACCTCTGGGCTGGTACAGAAATGAGTTTCCTCATCTGCACTAAAGCAGCAGATGGATCGCTCAGAACATTGGAGGATTAGAGAAATTGGACCTGCAGAGCAGATATTTTTACCAGGCTCACGTGCGTGCTCTTTGGTAGACTCGCAGAAGCAGTGGGCACATAGAGTTCCTCAGTCAAGTATATTGTCACACTTGGATGGTTTTTTAATTCCAAATGGCAAAGTTTTGGGTTGGAAAGGAAGTGTTTGCAGAAATTTTCACTGGATCCTAATTAATGTGTTCATTAATGATTAGAGGAAGAGAATAATCAGTGTGGTAATCAGCACGAAAACCCCCAGTTTTTCAGGACTGAGTTGGAAAAGTTGTAAAAATAGTGATATGTTTCGTAAAGAAGCGTTAGACAGAAGCCCAAACGAGAAGAAAAAAAGGCATTACTGTAAACCAATCAGCCCTGTTTCGAGTTACTTTGTTTCTTCTCCCCCAGAATTCCTTTATTTTGTCTATCTACCTGATTTCAGCTTCAGTGATCTGCTCCTTTCCACTGCTCCATCTGAAATGGTTCTTCTGATCGCTTTGAACCTGTTGGCAATTTATTTTTGTTTTTCCTCCAGACGGTCTTTTGCCAGGTCACCAGCTCAGCCCTCTCCGTCGCGGTGCCTCCCTGGCAGAAGCTGCCAGCTGTGCTTATCCATTAAACAAAAAACTCCTTGTCCCTGGGGATCAGTGATCTGCTCCTTTCCACTGCTCCATCTGAAATGGTTCTTCTGATCGCTTTGAACCTGTTGGCAATTTATTTTTGTTTTTCCTCCAGACGGTCTTTTGCCAGGTCACCAGCTCAGCCCTCTCCGTCGCGGTGCCTCCCTGGCAGAAGCTGCCAGCTGTGCTTATCCATTAAACAAAAAACTCCTTGTCCCTGGGGATACCCAGGCCCTCCCAAAGCCTGGGGGTTCAGCCGCCAGGGTTTCAGCAGCTAGGTAACTAGCGAGAATTCCAGCAGGAAAGAGCTGCTTTGGGGCTCTTCCACGTTTTTCATGGGGGTTTTAAAGTGTAGCCCTCTAGTAAGCAGTGTAAGTATATGTAGTGCTGGAAACAATCGTGTCAGGGGGTCTCTGACTCCTAAATGTGTCTTTTTTCAGTCTCTGGTGCTGGTGTCACGCCTTCCATATGTGAACTTGTTCCAGTCGTTGCTGCAGCTGATCGCTCCGGAATACTTTGACAAGCTGGAGCCGTGCCTGGAGGCAGGTGAGCAGATCCAGGAGGGAGGGTTTGCCTCCTGAAATCTTGCAAGGGTTTTATCAGGAGGATCCTGAAAGACAGCTGAAATGTTCCAAATCGGTTCATTCCGGAACAAATTCCAACAGGGAAAAACTTTAATCCGAGTGGTTGGCTTGTCAAAATTCTAAGCAGCTGTGAAGGATGCGTTGATGGGAAATGTCTGACAACCTGAATAGATGAGGCTGTCAGTTCTGATTCCCAGAGAGGGCAAAAACTGCTCATGCTCCGTGTCTGTCGAGGTCTTTATTGCACTACTCAACCACGATTTATCAACAATACAGTGCTGCTGGGCGTGCGCTGGGGACAGCCGTGCGGGCGTCACTCTGGTGGCTGTCCTCGGCTCACACAGTTATTTGATGCAGCGTTTGTTTGCAGCTAGCCGGGGGGACCTGGGAGCTGGGAATGAGCGATAATTAGATTGGCAGAACTCACAGGACCAGCTGAATTAGCTGTAAGGACCTTCAGGTTAATTTTTTTCCTTACCTGTGTCCCTCCAGTGTGCAACGAGATTGATCAGTGGCCGCCTCCTGCGCCGGGACAGACTCTGAACCTGCCGGTGATGGGAGTTGTCATTCAGGTACTCCCTGCTGGGGATCGGTACTCAGCAGCAGAATGAGGCAAAGTGGGAAGTGGAACGTATTCCCTTTTCTTCTGGATGTTACAATGAGGTTCTTTCCCTTTGTTCCTAACCTCTGTACAATTAGAGCTCATAATGGAGGAAGGTTTCTCACGTGGGTGGTTGTTAGGGAACGAAGCAAAGTGTGTGTGTGTGTGCGAATGGATCTCCCTGGATGATCTGCTCTTGTTTGTGCTCCAGGTGAGGATCCCATCGAGGGTGGATAAGCCGGGATCAAGCCCAGTGAAGCAGTTCAATCAGGAGGTGAGATGGAGCGTGGCGTGGCACAAGCCAGCGAGGAGCAGAGTCGCGACTGCTAGGGAAGGGGGGGGAGAAGACCTGGAGCTCTTTGGGTCTTAGCCTGTTGGAAACCACTTTGCCCTGGGATTACTGTGGTTTAAGCTGCCCCTCTGGGTCAAACTGCACACTCTCATGCCTGTCTCTTTCGAAACAGGACTCCCTGCACAGAATTTGTGTGCTTCAAGCTATGTATGTGCACTGTTCTCGCAGCTCTCGTTCACCTTGCCGTCCTGGGGACTCACACCTGGGTGGGTCTCCATGGGACCCTGCCTGTCTCCTGGGCTGTTCTGCAGCGTTTGCTGTCTGAGCATCTTTACAGCTTTTATTCAGCTTTATTTTGGTTCTTGTTTGTTTGACCTTTTCTCTTTTTCTCTCCTTTGAATAATGTAGTCATGTTTCACAACTTTCGGTACCCATGTCACCAGCCCTATGTCTATATCTGTATCTTAAGCTCTGCCTTGCCCCAGAGGAAACTCTAGAAAATAAAGGAGCAGGCACAGGAAATCTTTCACATTTGAAAGGAAGGGATTCTTGGCTATCTTCTAACAAAGGAAATTCATTTGGACCTTGAAAGTTCAATCCAGATCTGTTCTGGCTCGTATCTCCAAGCGTTAACCTTGTTCTCTTCTTTGTATGTGTGTTGTAGGAGCTGCTTTCTGATTGCTGTGGTCGGTGTAGATGGCATTTCGGTCAGCATGCTTCCGTTTACTAACAGTTTGGGGTTTGTTGGTTTGGTTTTTTTCTTTCCTCATTTAGAATCTGTTACCGGCCCCCCTGGTTCTCCCCAGTATCCACGAACTGGATCTTTTCAGGTGAGAGCCACCATCCCTGCAACCCTCTCCTCTCCGTCTGCTCTCCCCTCTCCCTGATCAGAGTCACTTACAAATCTGAAGATGTCAGATGAGGAGCCACAAACAGCTGCTTTGCGAGTGTCATTTCGAACACTGGGCTTGGGCAGTGGGCGCAGTGTTTAGACCTGTGTGTGCTGCCACACGTTTTTACTCTGCTGAGATAACAGGCATCCTGAGCAATGTGATCAGCAGGTTGCTTTACACCGCTTAAAGCGTTTCCTTTAAACGCGTATGAAAGGGCTGAGCAACAGCATGTGTGGAATACTAAAAGTCAGCCCTAGGTTTCAAATTCCCAGCTAGAAGCACATCTGGACAGGCTGCTATGCAGTAATTGTATCTGGTCTTTTCTGAACTGCGTTTCCAACTCAGCTTGT